CTGCCCCACCCTTCAAACCGAAACGCATTACTGCTTCACGGCAGAAATAGGCAGGGTGGTGGTACCTACCCGCGCGGACTCACAATAGGTCCTACCACCAGTAATTACGCAAATTATAATTTTGCGGGTTTGATTTTTATTACACGATGTTATTCCTTCACCGTGGAAGTCAATCGTGAACATTTGTTGAGTACGTATTTCATTAGAAAAATTGGTACCCCCGCCTGAGATTCGAACACCGGTGCATCGCTCCACACGAATGCACCGGACGTCTTATCGCTTAGGCCACGACGAGGTATCTAAAAATACCTAAAAATCTCCAGTATAAGACAACTGTACACTTCTTCACAATTTGCCTTCTTATTTTGAACGAGGCCATTTTTCAAGTACAATGAAATATGAGTCCAAATCAAATTGAACTGTTCTGAAATTTGACATTTAATTTTAGTTTACATGGTAACGATTCAAATATCATATCTTTTTTTTTATTTTTTTTTTGTTGCTTATATGAGTGGACGAGCTCACAGCCCACCTGGTGTTAAGTGGTTACTGGAGCCCATAGACATCTACAACGTAAATGCGCCACCCACCTTGAGATATAAGTTCTAAGGTCTCAATTATAGTTACAACGGCTGCCCCACCCTTCAAACCGAAACGCATTACTGCTTCACGGCAGAAATAGGCAGGGTGGTGGTACCTACCCGTGCGGACTCACAAGAGGTCCTACCACCTATCTTTAAAATATTATCATGAAAAAAACCTCTTCAAATTCTTCTACATTTTCTCTTTCATTAATTTTTAATTCCATCTGCATTTTAGGAGTATTAAGAAATATTTAAAAGATTCTGAAGGTTTTCTATAGATAATAGAGACAAAAAAATCCTCATAATCTTCTAAATATTTTTTAATGCTCCTAAAATGCAGATGCTAATAAAGAAAGAAAATTCAATGTAGCATCTAACTGAACGCATTCACTACATGTAATTAAATTGATAGCATCAGATGCTTCGTTTTCATTAAAATCTCAACTTTTAATGAACCTAGACTGTCTAGCTCGTTACTGAATTTTTTTAATGCCTATCTTGTTACGACTCACTCTTCATTTGATTAAAGTAACTTGGAGATCTGTTAGTTAATTTATTTAAATAATTAATCAATTTAAAACTTGCTTAAATGGATTTCACTTTTTTTTTTTTTTTTTTTTTTTTTCGGGTAGCGGGCCGAACGTCCTACGAGGTCCCCGCGCAAAAGGGGCGCGCGGGGTATGTGAGACTCAACGGTCTGCATGGTGTTGTGAGCAGACCGCGGGCCCAAGGATTTTAGGACCCACCCACTAAACGACTCCCCTGCACTCTTACACCCGACGTCCGATCCCCTCGGAGGTCAGAACCCGGATGAGGTAGGGGGGCTACCGCGGTCAACACTACAACCAGACGGCGCGGCTCACCCCAAGGACGCCCAGCCGACGGAGCCTTCGAGGCGAATCGAAGGCTCTGAAACGTCGGCCGTCTCGGTACGGCAGCCCGTCGGGCCGCCCAGACGGTGCCGCTGGTGTCCCGGAATACCCCGCTGGACCAGAACCAGCCTGCCGGGTCNTTACTATAGATATAGATTAGTATAGATTATTTCATATTAATCCTGCAACTTCATTTTAGACCTAAGACAAGAAAACAATAATGTATACATTGTATAAAATTCTAAGTTTATTTAAGATCGAGAAATGCATTTGTTTACCTTGAAAACTTGCAAATGTGTCAAAGGCGTATAAACGCATTAGTTTACCTTGAAAATTTGCACATGTATCAGACTGATAGATAACACAGGAATTTTATTAACTTTTTTCGATTTCCTGATAAAAATCTCGAGTATGAACAACAAAAAACAATCGGATGTGACAATTAAATCGTGTTTTATTTAAATTTAAGCCTTGCACTTTGCTTTTACAACCAGTAAGCGTGAAATAAATAAATAAATCTTCTATTAAATGTAACATGAATACACGAGATTAATATAAAATAATCTATACTACTACTAATCTATATCTATACTACTTAATATTATAAATGCGAAGGGAACTTTGTATGTCTGTGTGTTATGCAATCACGCCTAAGCTACTAAACCGATTTAAATGAAATATAGTTCAGAAGTAGTCTAGAGCCTGAGAAACTTTAACACTCACAGGTGCCTTTTTAATGCGAAAAAAGGACTGTAAGAGGTTGAAATAGGCGATGAAAGTTTGTATGAAATTTATGTCATTTTTAAAGCGTTGCACCGCCGCGCCGTGGCGCGCGGCTTGTCGGGGCGTGACGCGCGGCGTGATGCGACGTGACGTGCGGCTTGACACGGCGTGACGCGCGGCGTGACGTAAGTGGGGGAATATACCTTTTTTTTTTTTTCGGGTAGCGGGCCGAACGTCCTACGAGGTCCCCGCGCAAAAGGGGCGCGCGGGGTATGTGAGACTCAACGGTCTGCATGGTGTTGTGAGCAGACCGCGGGCCCAAGGATTTTAGGACCCACCCACTAAACGACTCCCCTGCACTCTTACACCCGACGTCCGATCCCCTCGGAGGTCAGAACCCGGATGAGGTAGGGGGGCTACCGCGGTCAACACTACAACCAGACGGCGTGGCTCACCCCAAGGACGCCCAGCCGACGGAAATGGATTTCACATAACATAGCCTTTTTTACCTACACACTTAACTCACACAAGAAGATAATACTTTTTCCTTTATCCGTAACATCATACCCGATCGTAAGCTAATGATATTAAGACAGGAATAATAATTAAAATTAGCATTCGAAGATGTGATTAAAAATGAGACGCATAATAAGCATGGCATGGTCAAATGTATTCGTCTCCAGTATTGCGTCAATGTCGCGATTCAAATAACGCCTGCAATTATTTATTTCTTAGTAGCACGTAGCTAATAGACGTCTAGAAGGAACTTCTCATCAAAGATAAACACGGTGATGTAGCTGTAAAAATATAGCTGTGTGAGATAGAATTGAAATTGGAGCTACAAAAAATCCTGGTTAACTTCATTTAGTGGTAGGCCGGGGCTTGGCTCTGCCCCTGGAATTCTTACTGGTGGTAGGACCTCTTGTGAGTTTGCACGGGTAGGTACCGCCGCTCTGCCTATTTCTGCCGTGAAGCAGTAATGTGTTTCGGTTTGAAGGGTAAGGCAGCCGTTGTAACTATACTGAGATCTTAGAACTTATATCTCAAGGTGGGTGGCGCATTTACATTGTAGATGTCTATGGGCTCCAGTAACCACTTAACACCAGGTGGGCTGTGAGCTCGTCCACCCATCTAAGCAATAAAAAAATTGCTGAAGTCCATGAGTGACGGTAACCACTGACCATCAGGTGGGCCGTGTGCTCGCCTGCCTACACAGGCAATAAGAAAAAATTGTCTTGAGTGTTTTGAGCGCTTCTCTTTAACATGATTTCGTTTATTTAATTTATCTGATAACAATGACTACATTTTTTTATTAAAAATTTAATGTACCTGTGTATAATGAAATTCAATAGAACCGCTTAAAATCCTAAAGATATGCAACAAATATCAAGAGAAGTTCATATGTTTTTGTGTACAATGTGGCTATGCAAACAAATTTTCAACTGTTTAAATATTTCAGCATATATTTTAATGGCTCGAGCAGGTAAATTTTCAGTTAAAACTTCAGAGTGATTCCATAGTTTAACTTTATCTTAGTCTCGTAATATTTTTTGGGACATTATTTTAAGGTAAATTTATTTTATTACTAACTAAAGATTAATTATTATTTTTTTATGCTACATGCTAAAAGTGAAAACGTTAGACCAGATATCCTTAGAAAGCATTTATTTCCTGATACTTTAATAGACTTTTATGTTGATTCTAACAATAGATAAATAATAGTTTAAAAAAAACTAACAAAATACGCTTTTATAGAAAATCCAACTAAAAAATAGAAAATGAATTAAAAATAGTGTAAGAAAAAAAATTTTTTGCAAAAAAAGTGTGGGGTACTTTTCAGAATATTATCAAAATAACCCTTCTACTCATATGTATCTGTTCATAAAATATTTATAACTTGATACCATGCACCTCACTCTTTTTTACAATAAAATCATTTTTTCTTGCATTATTTTTAATTAAAATTTATATTTTTTAGTTTTAGGATTTTCTATAAAAGCGCATTTTGTTTTTTTTTTAGACTATTATTTCTTTTGTTGTGTTGGCTATTATTGCTTTTTAGTTGAATTGCAATTTTTCAATAATTTTTTGTTAAGAAATAGTCATCGGTCCTTAATAAAAGTATACCAAATTTCGAGTTAATCCGACGTTTTGAAGTGGGTCAAAATCATGTTCAAAGATTCCGTTACATACTCTTGTATGTACAATACAGTCATACGTCTGAAGCTAATAAAAGCGTATTAAAAACTTCATTCAAGTGATTGGGCTCTCGTGCGAATCTATGGGCCCGAAGTCAAAGACTTTAGCTCTGCTAATCATTAAAGGCACAGCCAGGCGCCATATTCCTGTTTATTTCTCTATCTACGTCTGTTTATTGTTAGGTATTTAGGTATTCTCTTAGTATTACACTAATACTCATCGGCTTTCAAAATCAACTCGAGAACGGCTGAACCGATTTGGCTAATTTTGGTCTTGAATTATTTGTGGAAGTCCAGAGAAGGTTTAAAAGGTAGATAAATATGAAAATGCTCGGAATTAAATAAAAATAACAATTTTGTTTTCCCTTTGATTTCCCTCGTCGGACGTAATCCTTTTGTTTATCGATTGATGCACTACGAAGTCTGCCGGGTCAGCTAGTATACTATAAAAATAAAAAAGCCAAAAGTAAAGCCATAAAAGTAATTTTAATAAAACAATTGCAGCAGAATTATTAAATTTTTATATAAAGCAAGGTAAGACTTAAATTAGTTATGCACATTTAGAATAGAAAAAACATATATCTTCTTCTTCTTCCTAGCGTTTTCCCGGTTTAGTTCCAATGTTCGCCTATTTAAGCTCCTTCACTTTGCCCGGTCTTTGGCATCCTTCTGGGTGAGGTTATTCTCCTCCATATCCGCCCTTACCACATACATTTTCAATAATCAGTGAAATAAATGATTTAACGAATTCTCGAACGTGAGGCGAATTTTGAAGTCGACGTGGTCTAAAGGATAAGACGTCCGGTGCATTCATATCTAGCGATGTACCTACCGGTGTTCGAATCCCGCAGGCGGATACCAATTTTTCTAATGAAATACTTAGTTAACAAATTTAATGTTCATTATTGACTTCCACGGTGAAGGAATAACATCGTGTAGTAAAAATCAAACCCGCAAAATTATAATTTGCGTAATTACTGGTGGTAGGACCTCTTGAGAGTCCGCACGGGTAGGTACCACCACCCTGTCTATTTCTGCCGTGAAGTAGTAATGCGTTTCGTTTGAAGGGTGGGGCAGCCGTTGTATCTATACTATGAGACCTTTAGAACTTACATCTCAAGGTAGGTGGCGGCATTAACGTTGTAGATATCTATGGGCTCCGGTAACCGCTAAACACCAGGTGAGCCGTGAGCTAGTCCACCCACCTCAGCAATAAGAAAAAAGCTCTCAGCTCTCATGCTCGAGGAGATACCAATTATTTGAGGTCTATGTTACATGCAAACAGTTTGTGAACAGTTTAACTACATAAATTATGTTTAATTTGAAATATGTTTTTTGTAAATAACGGTAATCGTTCACCGTCAGATAGGTCGTATGCTTGTCTATCTACAAGGACAATAAAAACTTAGTGAACGAAAGCAAAGAGCAACACACGGATAACCTATTCAGTCAACGATTAAATAAAAGGCCCCGCAGTAGTCGAAATTCGACTATATCATTAATTGGAATTGTAAGTTTCTACACTATTATGATTGTATTTTATACTTCTATAATCACAAATTTCGCCAAAACTACACTATAAAAAATATTAACAAAGACAAACAATATTTAATCTATTCTCAATTTGACCACAGACGTCAAGAAAAAAAGTTTGTCAATAAATAGTATACATGCGTGTGTGCGTCAAATACATGGTATGTAGTGTGTGTAATGTTTTCTTTATTGTATTAACGTATCGTTTATGCATTATTTAAAAAAAAATAGCATTGTGCACTGCTTCTCTATGTTCTCTATAAGCGTGGAAAATTTCTAGACTCCTCCGTCCGCGCAATTTTCGTATAAAGGGATACAAAGTTTTTGCTTCACGTGTTAATATATAGATTTCATTAACAACGGGCCGCGTGTGCGATGACAATCAACTAAAACAATGAGCAACATTTACCGTCAGATGTGATGGACGACCCTAATAATACTGTGTCAGTTGCGCTCTTAAATTAACAACATGTCACGTGGCTTATGTTCACGTTTCGCCACGTTATTTCGCCAATTGGAAAACTACATTCGCTATGAAATAATAACGTCGGATGATATAAATTTAATATGTAAAAAAATAATAGTTAAAAAAATCTAAACAATAGAAACTAAAAAATAGAAAATGAATTTTAATGAATTTGAATTAAAAATAGTGTAAGAAATAATGATTTTATTGTAAAAAAAAGCGCGGGGTGCATGGTATCAGTAATTATAAATATTTTATGAACAGATATGAGTAGTAGGGTTATTTTGATAATATCCTGAAAAGCCATCCCTACTAATATATAAATGTAAATGTAAGTTTGTTTGTTACGCTTTCACGCGAAAACTACTCAACCGATCATCATGAAACTTTGTACACATATTCTTGTAGGTATTAAAAGTAACATAGGATACTTTTTATTAAGAAAAAAAAAAAGTTTTTTTTACGAAAAATTAAAAAAATTGTTTGTCAAAAAATCTCAAAATCTAGCTTCTTCAACGCCATCTACCGGTTCAGTAATGAAGTTCCAATCCTGAGTGCTGTAAATGAGGTCGCGGGTAAAATTTTGCGTTATGCCAAAGTAACTAGTCCACGCGGACGAAGTCGCGGGCAAAAGCTAGTATATAATAAATACCTTTATTTTAATATTGAATTGTCATCGGTCCTTAATAAGTATACCAAATTTTGAGTTAATCCGACGTTTTAAAGGGTGTCAAAATCATGTCAAAAGATCTGTTTCATACTAACATACATTCGCTAATAAAAGCGATTTAATAAAAACAATTAAAAAACACTATTTTATAGAAAATCTAAATTAAAGGAAGCGGTACGAAATTCGGGACTTGCTCTTTTTAAATGCTTATGCGACTGTACCGATGTTCGAATCCATAGAGATGTATCAAATTTCCTAATGAAATACACACTTATCTTATCATTTTCACGAAATACCTCTACGGTTAAGGAATAAAATCGTGAAATAAAAAACAAATCCAAAAAACATATAATCGGCGTGATAACCATATAATGAAACATAGACCTAGAGTCGCAAGATGAGTGGCGGCATTTACATCTAACTCATAAGTCGCAAGATGGGTGGCGGCATTTACTATCTAACTCCGGTAACCATTTAACGCCAGGCGAGCCATGAGCTATTTTTTTTTTATTGCCCTTGTAGGCAGACGAGCATACGGCCCACCTGATGGTGAGTGGTTACCGTCGCCCATGGACTTCAGCAATGCCAGGGGCAGAGCCAAGCCGCTGCCTAGCTAATGATAATTTACGCAATTATTTCAACGAACTACTTGCTATAGCTGTTGCCATCTAGAGTTCCGACCGCTAGGTCATGATAAGAAAGTCACAATAGACTAAATTTACGATCATAAGTATTTTGTTTACTGTTCGTCTTCACTACATTGTCGGTTATATGCCAAGTGTGAACCACGTTGAGTAACTTGAATTTCATTAAATATTTTTTTCAAATTTTATAATGAAAGACCCTGTGGCGCAGTAATTCGCGCTCCTGGCTGTTGGTTACTGAGGGTCGTGAATTCTACTCCCGCATCGGGCAAACTTTTTTGTGCAACAAGTTGTTCTTTGCTTTGAATAAGCATTTAATATTTTTAGTACATGTCTTTAGTTCTCATAGTACATAATAGGTCCTAGTTTGAGACTTAACGACCGTGTGTAGTTTATTTATTTGTTACACTCTGAAATCATCAAAATTAACATTGAATTGTGAATTGTGACTTGAAACTTAAGTATGATGAGACCTGTTACTTTGTTATAACAATATGTCGTATTTATTTGCCAACTTACCCAAGAAGGGTTCACGTCCAACCAGCGGGCCAGTCGTGTAAATTCATGCCAAGTCTCCTATACAGTATGATAAGAGGCATGCTGCGCCGACCCCACATACTGTGGGATAAGGGAAAGGAGGAGAAGACTCCTTTATTTGCCAACATTATCTCTTAGCGAGTAGGAAAGTCCACAGCTTATGAAGCCTAGGTACGTCATCTTAACTGACGTTTTGTACCAGCGAGCATTATTAGTTTTGTTACATGCGTGTTATGTTTATATTCATTTAGTTTGCTTTGTAAAATTGGTATTTCTATACCACGGCTACTTCTTCACGTCAGATCTGTTTTGAAAATATTATACAAATCAGTGAATTGCAAGTGGCTGAAGGCTAGTACAACCAGCCACTTGAAGCTCATCTAGTCAAAAGAGAAATTTTACGATAGTATATTTAATGTTTTACTAATATTAAATAGGAAGCTGTGGATGTGAACCTTAAAATTTAATCAATTTTCAGGCTACCTAATTAAAATTGGAAACCGTAGGACTGACAATAGAT